GGTCAGTAAAGCCAACCTTTCAGTTAGCAACCAAGCACTTAACTGTTGAGCCACTAGGACTCATTGTCCACTGAAACTACTCATCCTCAACTCCAGTGCTGGTGTGAACTCAATCCTCAGCAGGATTAAACAAAGAGGACTCCTTTCCGAAACACTTTTCTTGTGGTGCTGTGGGCTAATGTGTCAGACTTTTGCAAAGTTGTTTGAACTGCAAGGTCAGTGGTTCAAGCTCACCAGTTACTCCTTGGAAATCCTATACAGGGTTGCTATGGGTCGGAATCGACTCGACGGCACTTAACAATAACAACAGGGACCATGCTTTCCTGGTTTTCTTCCCATTTCATAAGCAGCAACTTCTTAGTCTTTGTTGCCGCTTCCCCTTCTCTTACCCTTGGGCTTTCTCACTCATCTATATGAACTCACTACCTAGACGATTTTTTCCCCCATCACCTCGCTTTAAGGACCTTCTCTACGCTGTCTGTTTAGTTTGACCTAGCCCAGCCCTCTTCTCTGAGCTCCCAAAGAATCCCCGTCGGATGTGCAACGGGGCACCTCAAACTTACTATGTGCAAAACACAACAGAATTCTTGATTTTTCTCCTTCCAACCTGCTCCCAAACAAGCCTTCTTCACCTCAGGAGAGGTTCCACCATCGTAGCAGGTGTTCAGATGATTAACCTTGAAGCCAACCTTGTCCTCTTTCTCACATACCTGCTCTAATCCATATGCAAGCCCACTGGTTCTCCCTTCAAAAGAAAGAAGTCTCAGAAGTCACCAATTCTCACCATGTTTAATATGCCACTCTGGTCCAAGCCTCCATGTCTGTCACTGGACAAGGTCAGTGGTCAGCTGCTTCGCCCTGTTCCCTTCTTGGCCTCATAGAACCTTACCACCGTCTAGTGGCTTCCCACTCTGCTTTTATCACAATTAAACATGAAAAAGTAAAATAAAATGAGAAGGAAAAACATCTGGGAGGCTAGAGTGTAGGTTTTATAAATGTGGGGTTTTTTAAGTTTTTATTGTGAATTGAGTGATAGTTTATATGGGAGAACATCAGTTTTACATTCATCCTACCGTACGTCATTTCATTGCAATGATTACAATCCCCTCCATGCATCATCATTCAACAGCATTTGCTTCCATTTCCTCTGTTTGTTTTGTTTTGTTTTTGCATGTACGTGGACGCACTCAGGAATATATGACCATTCAAACAACTCAAGGGTACATCCCGCAAACCTGCCCCCCGGCTGTCAGCATACAGCCCTTCTCCCTCCTTGAGTCCAGAGTCCCCAGCTGCTCTCCCCATCTCTCCACGTCATGATTTATTTTTACACTTTATGTTTTTGAATATTCTCAAATGTTTCATATTAAGTCTATCTTAATATGAAATCAGCAGAATACAAGCTATATAAACTAACAGAAGATTGCCTGTAGTCTAGATGGGCCAGTTTTATCCCGAGTCCAGAGTAAGTTCTTAATAATGTGTGTTCATACCAGCCTGTGCCTTTTCCCGCCCACGAATGCCTTCCTTTCTCACTTCCTTTCTGTCTTCATTGGATAAGCTGAACTGAATTTACTAATTCTCACTCACTAAATCTTTTCTGTTTGCTAGCGTACATATATGCATCAATGAGTGTGTGAAGGAGTTCTGGAGGCACATAGCCTCAGTGGGCTAAGCACTGGACAATTAACCATAAAGTCAGCGGTTCAAACCCACCAGTCACTCTTAGGGAGAAAGATGAGGTTGCCTGTTTCCATGAAGGTTTACAGCCTCGGAAACCTGGGGAACAGTTCTCTTCTGTCTGAAAGGGTTGTTATGGGTTACAATCCACTCAAGGACAGTGCGTTTGGTTTCATTGGTGCCTTGAGTAAGAGAATATGTATGTTGGTCTGTGTTCATTCTCCTTCCTCATAAGATACATCTTAACCTGTCCCCCCAGCTCCCCCAGTCCCCCTGCCCCGTCCCCCCGCTCCCAAGTCTCTAACTTATAGTCCTGATGACAGAGTACTTAATATTCATAGATAATACTGGGTGTCAAAGCTACCAGGTCCTGAAATTGGAGTCTGAAAACTTGGGGTGCTCCTTCCTTCATTCAGCTTATACAAGGGGCTTCAAGTGTGTGGGAAAATTCCATTATCTTTGTGTTCCATTTTTTTACACATTTTTTGAAGCTTCCTTGAATTTGTTGAGCACTTACCACCCGCCAGGCCCTTGCCATTCATTTTGTTTTCCCAACAGGACCTGCTTTCATTTTCATCAGAGGACCGAGGAAACTGAAACTCACACTGCTCCCACACGCCACTTGCTTAAAGTGACAGAGCGTGGAGTGGTCAGGCCTGGCTTAAAACAGAGCAGCAAGACCCCAGACCCCAGCCACTCACCAGTAGACCGTTTGTCCTCACCAGGCTACATGGTGAATGAAAGGCGATTTCCTTTGAAATCTATGTCTCGAATATGCATTCTAATCTCACCAGATCTGTTTCCTCCTTTGTAAACCAGAGACAATAGTAATACTTGACAAAACAAAACAGCCCACAACCATCAGCTGCTATGAGTCAGAACTGCCAACTTTGCAGTTCAAATCGACCTTGAGGTCGAGTGCTAATCCTGGTACCGCAGCAGGACTCCCGTCTAGGACACAGTAAAACCGCTCCTTAGGGTTTCTAAGACGGTACATCTTGACAGGAGCAGACAGCCCCTTTCTTCTGCCTAGGAGTGGTTGGTGAGTTTCAACCACAGCCAACCTGGTGGTTAGCAGCTTCACATTTAACCCATTGTGTCTCCAGAGCTCCTTAATACCTGGCAACCAAATCAAACCCAAACCATTGCTGCAAGGCGATTCCTACTCACAGCTGCTCTGTGTATGGTTCCCCGAAGCTGTGGATCTTAACGGGGGCAGCCAACCTCAGCTTTCTTCCAAGGAGTGGCTGGTGGGTTTGAACTGTCAATCTTGCGATCAGCAGTCCGCTGCTTATCCCCCTGCATCAGGAAGGTTCAGTTGTATAAGTGTTAAGATGTAAATGTTGTTGTTGGTGGTGATCCCAGGTGACAGAGGAGAGCTGCCCCTAGGGTGCTATCCGTACAGAATAGATCATTGGCCTTTTGTTTAGCAGTCAAGTGCTTAACTATTGCTCCACCAGAACTCTTTACAAAAGGAATAGTGTCGCACGCAGTTTCTAGACGTTGCAGGCATTTGATAACTGGTTGTTGTTGTTAGGTGCCTGCCTGATGCTCAACAGAACAGAATGAAACACCACCCGGTCCTGTGCCATCCTCACAATTGTTACGTTTCAGCCCATTGCTGCTGCCACTGTACCAATCCACCTTGTTGAGGTTCTTCTGCTCTCTCACTGACCCTCCACTTTACCAAGCAAGCATGATGTCTTTCTCCAGGGACAGGTCCCTTCTGATAATATGTCTGAAGTTTGAGAGACGAAGTCTCGCCATCTTGGATTCTAAGGAACATTCTGGTTGTACTCCTTCCAAGTCAGATCTATTGGTTCTTTTGGCAGCCCATGGCACTTTCGATAAATATTCTCCTCCAACACCATAGCTCAAATGCATCAATTCTTCTACGATCTTCCTTATTCACTGTCCAACTTTCACATGCATGTTAGGCTATGGAACATACCATGGCTGGGGTCAGCTGCACCTTAGTCCTCAAGCTGACATCTTTGCTCTTCAACACTTTAAAGAGGTCTTATGCAGCAGATTTGCCTAATGCAATACGTCATCTGATTTCTTAACTGCTGCTTCCATGAGTATTGATTATAGATTCAAATAAAATTAAGTCTTTGACAACTTTAATCTTTTCTCAATTTGTTGTTGTTGTTAAGTGCAATCAAAACAATTCTGACTCAGTGACCTTATATAGTCCTTATGGTTCAAACCAACCTTATAGTCCAGTGCTTATCCTACAGTGCCACACCAGGTCTCTTTTCTCCATGTATAAGAATGTTGTTTATTGGTCCAGTGGTACGTATTTTTGTTTTCTTTACACTGAGGTGCAACCCATGCTGAAGACTGTGGTCTTTGATCTTCATCAGTAAGTATTTTAAGTCCTCTTTGCTTTTCAGCAAGCAAGGTTGTATCATCTACATATTGTAGGTTGTTAATGAATCTTCCTCCAATCCTTATGCCTCATTCTTCTCCATATAATCCAGCCTCTCAGATTATTTGCTCAGCATACAGATTGAATAAGCATGGTGCAAGAATACAACCCTGGGGCACACCTTTCCTGATTTGAAACCAGTCGGTGTTCCCTTGTTCTGTTTCAATGACTGCCTCTTGCTCTATATGTAGGTTCCTTGTAAGCACAGTTATTGTTCCGGAATACTCGTTCTCCGCAATGTTATCCATAGCTTATCATGATCCACACGTCAAAAGCATAGTCAGTGAAGCATAGGTAGTAGCTGTTGTCAGTGACAAACAGGAAGACCATCCCCAGGATGGACTGACACAGTGGCTCCAACGATGGGCTCAAACTGTCCAAGACTGGACAGTGCCTCATTCTATTGTGCACAGGGTCGCTAAGAGTCGGAACCAACTTGACAGCATCGAACATCAATAAGAACATTTATCATATTGTCTACCTCGTTGATATGAACCCTAATGGTGCAGTGGTTAAAGCATGTGGCTGCTAGTCACAGCGTTGGTGGTTTGAGACAGAACAACCTTGGAAACCTTATGGGCAGTTCTGCTTTGCTCTACAGAATTGCTAGGGTTCAGAGTCGTAACTGTTCCTCACTGTGGGGCAGGACCGCAGCGTCGCCTGTCTTCCTACACAGTAAGTGGCCTTGGCCAGGCCTGCACCTCTAAATCTGGGTGTCACCTCTCTGATGTGGTGTGAAGGCGATCTTTGAAAGCTTGGCCCCAGAGAAAACAAACAAGGCTCTCGGATGTCCTGGTCTGAGTGCACCAGAGGAAAAGGGTGGTGTCTCAGAGTCCCTGTGTCTGTTTGTCATCCAGGCCCGCTAATCTAAACATCTCTCACCCCGCAGGAATCATTCTAGGGCCAGGAAGCAGCACGCTGTTCATCGAGCGAGTCACAGAGGAGGATGAAGGTGTCTACCTGTGCAAAGCCACCAACCAGAAGGGCTCTGTGGAAAGCTCGGCTTACCTCAAGGTTCAAGGTAAACAGAACCCGCTTTGAGAAATCCACCAGAAGCCACTCAGACATCAATTTCCCTGTTTGTTTAACATCCCCCAACTCGTCCGTTGTGCCTCAGTCCAGTCAGGTCCGTTTCCCTGACCCCAGTCTCCCTTTTCTCTGGCCCTTCCTGGAGGGGCTGTGTCGGGTTTGTACTGCCAGGATCTGCCCGAGCACAGCCTCTCTCAGTAGGGGAAACACAAAGTTTCCAGAAGAAAGGGGACCCAGCTGCTGGCACTTCCGGAAAACCCCGCAGCGAGTCACACCTGTGAGGAACAGGTTGAAGGAAGGGGAAGCTGGGCGAAGGTGGGGAAGATAGAAACCCCACATTTGGAACTCGTGACTTCCCTTTTCCCTCCTAGTTCCCTCCAGTTGGAATGTTTTCTTAAGCTGCTTTTAACACAAAGTTAAAATATTATCAAGATAGAAGCAACACATCATAAACAGGTAGCGTGAAGAAAAACATTCCCAGGACTTCCTCTTTTCTAGGCCCCAGCTACTTTGTTAGGCAGCAAAATACCAAGAGACCTAGCCTAACCCTGGGCCAGACATGTGGCTCCCATCTAAGAAGGAACTTAGATCAAAGTTTCCATTCTACAACGTTTACAATGACACACACAGGCGGAACATTTACGCCATCATCAAAGATCCTATTGTCACCTCTTGGATGTGAATACCTATGGCACTTTGAGGTAGCCTGTCTCCATCAGCTCTCCAGTCGCCCTGTGAGTGTGCATGGCGTAGGGCTGGCGGGGAGGAGCCAGTGAAAGCGCCATCTCCTTCCGCTCTTTGTCCGGGAAGCTTATATGACTTAGTGATCCTAGCGCAGGGAAGACATTCTGTCTCCTCCAACATGGAGCATGAAGATGAAGAGATGAAGGAGATAAGATCTGAAAGACCTGGACCACAAAATCAGACTTTCAGAGACAGAGAGGGTAAAGCCACTGCCATCCAGGTGCTTGTGACTCAGAGTGACACTGTAGGATAGCATACAGTGGCCCATGGGGTTTGCAAAGCTGGCATCTTTAAGGCAGCAGATTGCCACGTCCTTCTTCCTCGGAGCGGCTGGTGGCTTTGCTCTTTTGCCTGGTGGGTTTGATCTTCTGGCATGTTTAAGGCAGCAGATTGCCACGTCCTTCTTCCTCAGAGCGGCTGGTGGCTTTGATCTTTTGGTTAGCATCTGAGCGCTTACCCACAGCGCCACCAGGGCTCCTTAGGGAACAGAGTAGCAGCCCCAGGATGCTTTTAGTAACGATTCTGTTTGTCTTCCACTTCAGAGCTTCCGCTCTTGTGTACGGAGGGTGCTTTGTGATGTGGGTGCCTCCTGTTAACGGCTTTCCTCAAACACTTGATCTGTTAATGAGAACTCCAGAAGTGGCTCTCAGGGAGTGGCAGTATCAAGCCGGGGGGGCTGGGTCTGACAGAGGACACCCTGATCTGCAATCCAGAAGATGCTGCCCCCCTTATCCTCCCAGCAGTGCCATGAGATGCATTGTTGTTGTTGTTGTTGTTATGTGCCGTGGAGTCGGAACCGACTCATAGCGACCCTGTACAGGGTTTCCGAGGCTGTAAATCTGTACGGGAGTAGAAAGCCTCATCTTTCTCCCGCGGAGCAGCTGGTAGTTTCGAACTGCTGACCTTGCGGTTCACAGCCCGAGTCGTAACCACTACGCTACCAGAGCATAAGCAGTTATTATTAGCCACAGACAGGGCTGAGATTAGCAACCTAAACCCAAGGAATGGAGCCCTAGTGGTACAGTGGTAAAGCACTCGGCTGCTCACCCACAGATCGGTGGTTTGAACCCACCAGCCGCTCTGGGGGAGAAAGATGAGACAGTCTGCTCCCATAAAGAACACAGCCTTGGGAACCCTGTGGGGAAGTTCTGCTCCGTGCCATGGGGTTCATGTGAGTCAGAATTGACACAGTGGCAGTGAGTGGGGTTTTTATACTCAGTAATTGCAGACCTGGTAATATACTCGGTGATTGCAGGACTGTTGGTAATTGGAGTCCTGGTGTGACGCTGTGGGCTAATGCGTCAGACTGCAAAGCTGTTTGAACTGCAAGGTCGGTGGTTCAAGCTCACCAGCTGCTCCTCGGCAACCCTATATAGGGTTGCTATGGGTGGGAACCAACTCAATGGTTCTTAACAACAACAACAACAATTGCAGACCTGAGGGTGGAAACTGGACTCATGTCAGACTCTACTCCCAAGCCCCTCTCACATGACAGCCGTCCCTGGCCATGGGTCTGTCTCCATGCTTCGATAGTAAGACACGGGTCAGCAGTGGCCGGGGGTCCGGAAGGCTCAGGGGCAGGCTGACTATGTTGTTGTTGTTTGTGTCCTTCGTAGCCCTGGGCACGTGAACAGTGCTGTGTTAACCACCATCCACATGGGCGTCTCTCTCTGTGGCCCTAAGACTGTCACTGTATTTTTCTCATCTAACAATAAAAGGTGCTTTTCTAAATCCATACAACCAAGAGTTCTGGGATAGACCCAGGTATATCCCCCATGCTGCAGGGTGGTCAGATGTAGAGACCACCACACAAGAGGACAAGCAGTTTCAAAGGATGTGTAGGATTGCCCCAGGGGGAACACATTGGAAAGGAGGGCTGTCCAGACAAAGGAGAAACAATATATAAGAACAAGGGGCTGGGGGAGCACAGTGCCCCCAGGAAACCACAAGGAGTTTAGGGTAGATCGAGGGCTGGGGGGTGGGGGGGGTGTGGGTGTTAAGGAAGAAGAAGAAAGGAGGCCAGTGGCCTTGTGTGCCCCAATCAGGAGTCACCAAAGGACTCTAAGCTGGGAAGTGACAAGAAGGTAGCAAGCCTGGTGACAACTCCATGAGATTGAGTAAAGCTGCCCCAGAGAGCACCCTAGGCTGTCATCCTAACAGGAGCATATCACTGGCTCTTCTTCCCATGGTGGGTTCGAATCCCTACTCTGTCTCATGGGAAATGGATCTGTCGGCACCCAACAACAATGACAGCTTGAAGGATGTGGACGTATAGCCATGGTCCCTCGCTTAGGTGTGCTTTGAAAACCTAGTTAGAAGAGTAAGGTGTACATGAAACAATTAGAACAGACATGCTGTGCTTTGTCCAAGGGTAGAAACACTCATTTATACAACAGACTGAGGGCCACAGCAGATGTGCTGAGTGGGTCGATCCCTCGAGAAGGTCTGGTAGGGGTTGGATTGGCCAGGGAAGGAGGAAACAGTAAAGCTCCGTCATCTGCAGTGGTACCCCCGTGGCAATAACCAGGTGTACGTGGTTCTAAATCCTGCCTATGGGTGGTAGTCCATTAGATTTTCAGATGAGCGGTACTTCTGGCACATGACCTCATTTCCCTCATGCGACACTGACCTCAGTATAACTTTAAGAAATGTCCTAGTTTGCAAGGCGGCTGCAGACACTTCTCATCTCAAAGAGCTTTCTTTTGACCCACCATGACGTCAAAATATCATGCTTTTGAGTTTGTGTACCTGCTTTTGCTACTTTTTCTTTCCTTCTCCCTTGCTCTTTCAACATGTTTCTTGGTTTTAAACTCAGAATGACAGCTGGATCTAACCCCACTGCTTATAAATTGTGGTTAGTGGAAAACCACAGTGTGATCTGCAAATCAAAACTACAATGCAGTGCTCACTGATCAGAGCACATGCATGGAATCTTAGCCATGTCGGATCAGCACGGAACTGCCAACCATAAGGTCGGCAGTTCAAATCCACCAGCCGCTGCTCTGAAACCCTACACAGGGACACTATGAGTCAGAACTGACTCAGTAACACTTAACAACATCCAGAATATGAAGACCTAGTATGGCGCTGTAAGATAAGCATTGGACTGCAAACCACAAGTTCATGAGTTCAAACCCACCAGCTGCTCCTTGGAAACCCTATACAGGGTCGTTATGAGTCAGAACTGACTCATTGGCATTTAACAATAACATCCAGAATACAAAGAAGAAACCTTGTATGGTGCTGTAAGATAAGCATTGGACTGCAAACCACAAGGTCGGCAGTTCAAAACCACCAGCTACTCCTCAGAAACCCTATACAGGGTCATTTTGAGTGGGAACTGACTCAATGGTACAACAACTACATTCAGAACAGAGCAATGGTAGATTGTTGTTAGTGCCATTGAGTCAGTTCTGACCCTGTCTAGGGTTTCCAAGGAGTGACTGGTGAGACCTGCCGACCTTGCAGTTCACACAGCTTTGCAGTCTGGTGCATTAACCCACAGCGCCACACCAGATTAGCACTAGGAAATGAGAATGTTTGCTCAAGAAAGAGACAACATGAGGTGACGCGTTTGTTTTCTTTGAAGGAGGAGGCATCAAAAAGATACGTCAGAAAGATAGCTAGAAACAAGGAAGGAATTTTGTAGGGAAACAGGTTTTAGCTCCAGTTAAAGAGCAGAATTTTGCATGAAGAGAATCTTTCAAAGTTGGTAGGTAGTCTGTGGACCATAGGAAAGCCTGCAGGTGTGAACTAGATGTGTTGTTGATGTTGTTAGGTGCAATTGACAGCCACACTGTCCAAGACAGTCCTGCGCTATCCTCACAGTTGTCCTTATGTTGAGCCCACTGCTGCTGTCACTGTACCAGTCCATCTCATTGGGGGTCTTCCTCGTTTTCACTGACCCTCCACTTTACCCAGCACGATGTCCTTCTCCAGGGACTGGTCCCTCCTGACAACATGTCTGATGTATGAGAGACAAAGTCCGGCCATCCTGGTTTCTAGGGAGCACTCTGGCTATAATTCTCTCAACACTGATTGGTTCTTTTGGCAGCCCATGCCACTTTCCATGTTTTCCTCCAACACCATAATTCATATGTATCAATTCTTCTACGGTCTTCCTTATGTGTTTTCCAGCGTTCACATGCATATGAGGTCATTGAAAATACCATGGCTGGAGTCAGGAGCACCTTAGTCCTCAAAGGGACGTCTTTGCTCTTCAACACTTTAAAGAGGTCTTGTGCAGCA